AGTCAGTTTCCCTCTGCCATTTCCAGATTCTTCATTTACCGCCGTCACTCAGCAAGCTCCCTTCCTTTGAAACTCAGTTAAAATTTTCCACCAAATCCAGGTCATGGTCTCTACCTCGTGGTTTATTCTCTCCTCTTTCTCAAGAAGTTCAGTACCTGGTTTAATGTTTTCCTCTCCTTCCCAGCTCCTACCTTATGCTAGGATGTTTCAGCATTCCTTTTGAGTCTCCCTCAAACTCCATGACCTCCCAGTTCCTTAGCTTCCTTTGATCAATCCTGTGATCTTCAGTCAGCCACACACAGGGATTGTCACACCCTGCCTGATTTCATCATTACCCCCCAAGTGTTTTACTTCCTTCCTTTAAAACTCTGACTTTATTCTAACTAATCTTTCATGCCATCTCATTCTATGCTTCATCCTTCTTTTTTTTTTTTAGTTTTATTTATTTTTAGTTTTCAACATTCACTCCCATAAGCTTTTGAGTTTTCAGTTTTCTCCCCCTCACTAAGATGTCATGTGATCTGATACAGGCTCTACATATACATTCATATTAACATATTTTCGCGTTAGTCATGTTGTAAAGAAGTATTAGAACCAATGGGAGGAACCACAAGAAAGAAGAAACAAAACAACAAAAGGAAAAAAAAGATCAAATAGTATGCTTCAGTCTGCATTCAGACTCCATAGTTCTTTCTCTGGGATGTTGTTAGAGCATTTTCCATCATGAGTCTTTTGGAGTCATCTTAGATCCTTGCATTCCTGAGGAGAGCTAAGTCTTCTTAGTGTATGCTTCATCCTTCTTAAACCTATTCTTTGCCCTCTTTTCAACCTTCAGTCTCTCCACTCCTTAGTACTTCTCAAACCATTGCCCTTGCTCTGACTTCCCTTTTCTACCTTTCCACTCTTGACCCCCCAATTAGCCAATTCAACTTCACACTGTCCTCTGCACTTGAATCCCCAGGCCACTATCCCTTGCCAAACTTCAGCCCTGGATTATTCGTATGATTTACCTCCTCTTTTCCAATTCCTGTACTCCTAAATGGATCTGGGAAAAATCACTCAGCCAAGGGTTGACTGGGTGTGTTTTCAGTGCATGTTATCTGATCTTAGCTGGGCCCACCCTTTGGCAAGGTAATCCTTTTATTCTTGTTCAGGTGATTCCAGATCTCATTCCCCATAGTAAGTCTTCTAACCTTGTCTCTTCAAGCTTCCTCCTTCTCTCTCTCACCTTGAGAATCTTGCCTCTTTACCAAGAAAATTGAGTCCTGTTGTTTTAAGCTCTGTCTTCACCCCTTCTCTATTTCAGAATCCCTTGATGTCATCTACCATTCCCTGCTCCTTTCCATCGGTTTTCTGCCAATGAAACCTCCTTGGCAAGACCAGCCCCTCTACTTATATACTTGATGCCATCCCTTCCTATTTTCTCCAGCAGATTATAACTTCAGTCATCCTCTCTCAAATTTTCAAATCCTCTATCTATTGGTTCCTCCCTCACTGCCTCCAAACTTGCTCACATTTCCCCTTTCCTGAAAAAACCTTCACCAGGCCCTACCATTCCCTCAAACTTTTATCCTATGTCTCTCCTCTTTCTCAGCAAAACTCCTAGAATCCTGTCTCCTCTCAACACTGCACTCTGGCTTCCAATTTCACCATTCAAATGAAATGCTCTCTAGAGTTAGCGGTGATCTCCTGATTGTCAAATCTGATGGCCTTCTCTCAGTCCTCATCCTACTTGACTGCTCTGCTTCATTTGATATTGTTGACCAGTCTCTCTTTCTGGATGCTGTCTCCTCTCTGAATGGTCATGACACTGCTCTTTCCTGTTTCTCCTCCAGCCTATAAGGACCACTCCTCAGTTTTCTTTGCTGGATAGATCATCTGCATCACACCACCAAATTGTGATTGTGCCCCAAGGCCATGTCCTCCTCTCTCTGCAATCATTCTTGGTGTCCTCATCAGTTCCCCTGTGTTTAACTTTATGTTTATCTTTATGCTGATTGCTCTTTGATCCATATATCTAGCCACAATATCTCTTCTGAGTTCCATTCTCTCATCACCAACTTCATGTTTGATATTTCAAATTGGATATCCCATATCTCAAACTCATTCCTAGAATAGAACTCATCTTTTCCCCAAAACCCAAAATTCTTCCAAACTACCCTCTTTATATCAGACACCACCATTCTTCCATTCTCTTAGTTTGTAGCATTGGCATTATCCTCAACTTCTTACTCTTCCCTACCCCACATACCTGTTCATTTGCCATATCTTTCCATTTCTAACTCTATAACTCTCACATCATACATCTTTTCTTATGCAGCCACCACCTTAGTTCAGGCTTCATTACCTTTCATCCACATCATTGTAATGGCATTCTAATGGGCCTTCCTACTGCAAATATCTATCTCCTTACTCCAGTCTACTCTACAAAGTGCTTAAGTGGTGTTCCTTAAATTCAGATTTGACTATATGACTTCTATTAGCTCCCAGTTGTCTCTAGGATCAAATATAAATTCCTCTGTTTAGCTTTTAAAGCTCTTTGCAACCTGGCCCCCACCTGTCTTTCTAACCTCAATGGACATTGCTCCACCTCCCACACTTTGCAGTCCATCCAAATTGCCCTTTTTTATGTTCGTGACACATCTCCTTTTTCCATGTCTTTGCAGTAACTGACCTCCTATATCTGGAATGTACTTATTCATTACCCTCTACTTTATAGAATCCCTCTCCTTTCAAGATGCAGTTTAAGTACCATTGCCTACATAGAGATTTTTTTGATCCTGACCCTCCCTCCCTCTCAAACCACTCTTTAATTTTTATATATTTGTGTGTATGTATATATATAGTATGTTTATACACATACATATGTATATATGTCTACATATTTTTGTGTATGTGTGCACATGTGTATGCATATCATATATACACACATACCCTCGCTCTTTTCTTTAGATTGTATGTACATACCGCATACACAGTGTACACACACAAATGTGTACATATACATACAGATATACCTGGCACATGGCAGGCTTAATAAATGCCTGTAAATTGATTGCTTGATTCCTGACCATTCCCTTTTATTGTCAAGACCACCACCATCCTCCCAGCCACCGAGACTCCTCACGCTTTCACCCTCCAAAATCCAGTCATTTATCAAGTCATGTCTGTTTTACCTTCACAACTTCTCTTGTGTATACCACCTTCTCTGCTCTTAAACCACCACCACCCTGCTGCAAACACTTACCAACTCACACTTGGACTATTGCAATAACCTTGTAGTTGGTTTCATTTCCCACTCCTGTCCTTCTTCCACCCAACTGTCAAAATGATCTTCCTAAAGCTCAGATATCACCATGTCGCCTTGCTACTCAGTAAATCTAGTGGCTTACTGTTACTTCCAGGATCAAATTAAAATCCTCTATTTGGCATTTAAAGCCCTTTATAACCTGCCCTTCTCCCTACCCACCTACCCGCTTTTCCAGTCTTCTTACATGTTACTCCCCGCCATTTGCTGTATAATCCAGTGACGCTCCCTGCTGTTGGTTGCATAAGATACCCCAGGAATTTTCACTGGCTTTTCTCTGTGCCTGGAGTTGTCTCTCCCTTCACAGCTCTTCCTCCTGGTTTCCCTGCCTTCCTCAGGTCCTAGCAAAAATCCCATTTGCCCATACCTCTTAATGCAAGTACCTCCTCTTTGAGGTTACCCCCAATATATCCTGTCTATATTTTGTTTGTACATAATTGGTTGCATGTTGTTCCCCAGGCCCCATCTCCCTCATTGAAGATCTTGCAGTTCACAAAGATGGCCTTCTCTCAACTCTAGCATGTTACAAGCTTGCTGGACCAGAGAGTTTCGTGCTCATAAGCTATCTGGTATTAATCTCTTATAGCTAGGTCATAAAGAAGTGTCACTTATATGCTGGGCATCTTTGTAATATGTTAAAGACCAAGACAGTTAAGATCCAAGAACAGCTGTCAGATTTATATATTGTCCTTCCAGGAAGTTGCTAGCGCTATCTCTTGTGTTTTAGCTTTCCTCCTCACCCTTCATTTGCCCAGCCCATGGGATCTGTCCTTTAAAAAGTCTAGTTCAAATGTCATTTGTTCAGCCAAGCTTTCCTTAATCCCCAGTCACTTAAGCCAGGCTCCCCCCCACCCCCAACTCCTGGAAGCACAGGGTTGGTACTTCCCTTAGGTTCTCATAGAGTCTGTACTCTGATTATTTGTGTTGGTCATATCCCCCTTATAAATTGTCATCTTCACAAGGATGGGAACTCTGCCACACTTTGTACAGTGCCGTTTACATAGTAGCCACTTAATGATGGATAAATTGAATTTAATTTGGGTTTTTCTATTTGCTTTAATGGGTTGAAGCCACTGTGTAAGGATTCACATCTGGAAGTATGGAAGGGCCTAGCTTCCTGGCATAAGACTAGAGTTTTATTTTCAATAAGAATCTAAAATCTAAATTAAACTGTTATTTAACCATCACCTTCAGGGACAGAGGATAATTAAAGAAACAGTGATTTCTTTTTCCTTGATACATTGTATTACATTATTGGCCCATCATAGCTATAAAACCTCATTAAAACCAAATAAATGATGGGGAAATAGCTTTAATTGCCAGAGCTCAAATTTTTCATTGTCTTGATTTTTAAAAGTAATGGATCATCTAATTATCCAGGAAACTAGCAACTGCTTTAAAATATAACTTTAAGTAAATTACTATATAATATAATAATGAGTGCAGCCCCATTCCTTATTTGCTTCAAAAATTTAGTAATAGACATTCTAATAGAATTCATTGATTTCCCCCCCCCCAGAATTTGGTACAAATTGCAAGACCGAAAAAGAGACCTTTCTAAAGAAAGAATAGGAAATTTCATGTATTTTTCCCTAAATTTGCACCAATTATTATATTTTATTTTCCTTGGTAGCATCCTATTTGCTGCACTTAGGTTTTTTAATTTCCTTTAAACATTTCTCATTTCTTTCAGGTTATAATGCCCTTTTAAGATATGAAGGGTTTGAAAGTGACTCCAGCCTAGACTTTTGGTGCAACATATGTGGGTCTGATATCCATCCAGTTGGTTGGTGTGCAGCCAGTGGGAAACCTCTTGTTCCTCCTCGGAGTAAGTAAGAGTAAAAGAACTGTTGACTCACAATATTTTAAGTGAATATATCCCTCTTACCTCTTCAAATGCAATTACTCCAGGAATGATATTGCTTCTCTTCTATCTTAATTTATTTTCTAAATTGGTACTTTTGCTCTGATTCTTTTGCTAATTCATTCAAATGCATGCTAATTTTTAGGCCCTGAATTCCTGGGATATCTGGTACTATTGGTATTACTTTTTTTTTCCCTTAACAAAGAAGTCTGTTTATAAAACAGTTTCATGCCTTGTTAAATATGACTGGGTTTTTTTTGTGTGTGTGTTTTTTTTGCAATAGCCATTCAACACAAGTACACAAACTGGAAAGCTTTTCTAGTCAAACGACTTACTGGTGCCAAAACACTTCCCCCTGACTTCTCTCAAAAGGTAAAGCTTCCTTATGTAAATCGCTTTTAACTAAAGGCATTTGGAGTTTTTTTCAAGACATGTTAACCTGAAGCTTTTTGTTAATATAGATATGTTTAAAATCATAGTGAACTGATTTTATTATTCATTAAGCATTCTTCATAAAAACTATTTGAAAGAAATGCACATCCTTTTTAATACTTGGGTACATCAGATTTGGTCTTTGTGGTTTCTTCTTCCACTTGTACAGATTAAAACCCATTCACAAGCTTTTTTCTTGTGCTATTCATACTGATGTCTTTGCAGACTGATTATATGTTACATCTCTTCATGCCCTTTACATTCAGTTAAGCTGACCTAATTGTTATTCCTATATAACCTCTCTGTCCCCTCCATGCCTTTCCATAGGTTGTCCCCCATGCCTGGAATGCTTTCCCTCCTCACCTCTAGTTCTTGGAACCCTTAACTCTCTTCAAGACTCAGCCCAAGTGCTCTTCACTCTAGAAGCCTTTTTATATTTGTTCCCCCCATCACTTTGTATGAATTTTAGTGCACACATAAGTGTGTGTATGTGTATATGTAAACGAATGTGTATCCTTCTTACATGTTTGTTATGTGCATCCTTTTTACATGTTGCATCTCTCCCAGTAGAATGTAAGCTCGATAAGGACAGGAACTTTGTATCTTTAGAACCTAGCACAGTGCCTGATAGTGGTAGGCTGGTTGATTGATTGCAGAATCTACCTACCATTCTGGAGGTCATCTTCTGGTTCTTTTTAAGATCTTTAATATCAGTATACCAGTCACTGTCTGGTTATTGTCTTTTCATTCTTAGTGTGTCTACCTCCTTTATTGGTCATATTCCCTTTTGCTTTAATAATGAAATGGTAAATTTATATTTATTCCGGTGTACGTAAGAGGAGGCTTTGTAAGTTCCTTCATGGCAGGGTTAGTTTTATTTATCATCTTTGAATACCCAGCATGTAGCTTAGTCCTTTGCATATAGTAGGTGCTGAATAGATGTTTGTTGGATTGAAGTAAGTGCTTAGTTATTTCTTTCTTTGATTTTAAGGTGTCAGAAAGTATGCAGTATCCTTTCAAGCCTTCCATGAGGGTAGAAGTGGTTGATAAGACACATCTGTGTCGAACACGGGTCGCAATTGTCGAAAGTGTAATTGGAGGAAGATTAAGATTAGTGTATGAAGAAAGTGAAGACAAAACAGATGACTTCTGGTGCCACATGTATAGTCCATTGATTCATCATATTGGTTGGTCTCGAAGTATAGGTCATAGATTCAAAAGATCTGGTGAGCACATTTATAAAGATTTTTATTAAAAATATCAGTGAGATATAATGGAACTCTTCAAATATTTTTCTTTTCAAAATGTCTTAGATTTAAAATAGCCTTCTATTTATCTAAGCAGCTTCTAATTTAGTTAGTGAATATTTATACCAGAATAATTATGTCTTAAGTGATTAATTTCCTATACTTCCTTTGCTTGCTCTTGGTTACAAAATGTGCCCATAGTCATAATAATGATTGTTTTCTTATTCTTCAGTCTTTCAACTCATCTTTTAAAAAAACAAAAACACCTAAACATAGTTTTCCCCACTTTCCCATTTTTAATCAAGTTATTAGAAAGAAGTAAATTTGGACAGGCATTTTATCAGACACATTGGTAGCGCTCCTAAAATTAGGTGATCTAAATAATTCTCTACCTTGTTGAATATCAACACTCAAATTAACTTAATTCATTTAATAATATATGCACATGTTCTCTTCAGGAAAAGGACTCCTTAAGAGTAGTTTTGAAGTGTGGGAGACATGTGTTTGCTGTTTGAGGGCATCATGTGCCATGTAGGTTTTAAGACTTTCAAAGAAAGGTGGTTTTTGATCTTTCAAATGCTGACAGATTAGTATGTAACTTTTCCTTGTAGATATTACTAAGAAACAGGATGGACATTTTGATACACCACCACATTTATTTGCTAAGGTAAGAGATTTTTCATAAGAACCCTCATTTGTAAATTAGATTTGAAAGAGGGTTGTGGGTATTTTCATAAATTAGTGGAAATCACAATTATATGTTCATTTACAAAGATTAAGACTTTGTAATACATAGGTATCATAAATCTCTATTATAATTGCCCTAAAATTCTGTCTTATTTCCTTGTGTTCCTTTAATGTTATTGAAAGTTTGAACAACAATATTAGGTAGGTAGGAAGCTATTTCACCTCTTCTCTGGTGAGCTTTTTTAAAATGGGTGCTGTTTTGCAAAATACTGCAGCAGCACTTTTGCATTATAGTAGATGTGCTTTCTTATAATCCTTTAGGTAAAAGAAGTAGACCAGAGTGGGGAATGGTACAAGGAAGGAATGAAATTGGAAGCTATAGATCCTCTAAATCTATCTGCAATATGTGTTGCAACCATTAGAAAGGTGAGATGATGAATGTAAGTTTAAATAAAAAGTGAGTGTTGACTGGAGCTATATGGTTACGGCAAAAAAGTGGAAGCTGATTAGATTTGTAGTGAAATGTTTATACATATATGCTTATGTCTGAATCTGTACTAGGAAAAGAGAATGCCAGTGTTAACCCAGATAACTTCAAAGTAAGTTTTACTTCTTAACATAAGTCATCTGTACAGCACTTTGCAAAGATTGTTGTTTTGAGATCACATTCTATAGAGGGACACTATGGCAGTGTTTTATTCCACAGTGCATCCTGTGTTACAAGCAGTTTAATTTATTTCCTGGTCACTGGCCCCAGGAAAGAATTGTAAAGCAATCAGAGTTGGTGCTTGCAGTGTCCAGCTTCCTGGTCTTACAGCAAGTGTTCCATCCCTACTTCCTACATTTACATCTTCCCAATCCATGCTTAATTTATAACCTTCTAAAGGGTCTAACACTGAATTCATAATCAGATATAAATAATTAGTAATCATTTAAATTCTTAATATTCCTAAGGATGTTTGCATTTTAACAGAGTTCAAAACCCTCAACAGAAAGAATAACATTCTAAGGTATGGAATTTCAGCTATCCACCAGAGTTGGGGAATATTTTAACTTTTTTTTTTTCCACTTATGTGTAGCCCTAGCCCTAGTACATACTGGATTTTATACTGCCAACTGAAAATTAATGAAATTGTGTATTTGAATTAGAAAACATAAAAATCTATGAGTATAACCTAAGCCTTTTTTCACCTTTATAATTAGATTCTTCCAGTAGATTAAATAAAATTCTAGATGAAAGAATAGTCTAGATTCACTTCTTTTAACTTGAATTCCTAAGAGTGTTTCCTAATTTCAAATATTTGGGCTTTTAATTCATAAAGGTGCTAGCAGATGGATTCCTTATGATTGGGATTGATGGATCAGAAGCAGCAGATGGATCTGACTGGTTTTGTTATCATGCAACCTCCCCTTCTATTTTCCCTGTTGGTTTCTGTGAAATTAACATGATTGAATTAACTCCACCCAGAGGTATCTCACTTTAACCTAAAATGACATTTCTGATATTGTACTGTATTTTTTATCACTACTTTTTTCTACTCAGTATCGTTTTGGTGTTTATATGAAGCTTATCCAGTGTTATCCTTAAAATCTGTACATAATTTTTAAAAAAATACATATTGCAAGGCTTAATGGACAACTGTGCACTTTGGAACATTTCGTTTTGGGTCTGTGTATAGTTTTTTAATTTATATCAATTGATAGCACCAGATAATGTTGGGAAAACCAGATCTAGCAGATATTTGGTGCAGGAGGTAACAAAGACTATTTTTTACTACACACATCTTTAAGCCTTAAGGGCAGCTTCCCTCATTAGATTTTTCATTGAAAACTCCATTAAAAATGCCTTTTTTAAGATGTCAGGCTATCTCATCTAAACAAGTGGCCACATAACATGTTTCATGAACTATTCTCCAAAGAACTAAAGAAAAAAACTAAATGAGAGGGAAAAATGCAAGATTGTTTTGCTGTGTTCCCTTTTCTCCCCACAAAACACATGTAGAAATGACCCCACAGTCTCAAGAACTAAACCAGGCCTAAGTGTGAGAACAGACGTCTGTAGCTTCAGGTAACACTTGAGTTGAGAAAGATGCCTCTGCAAAAAGTGTCTTGAGTCAGCCTCCATCCAGTTAATTTGGGCCCCAATGTCTATTTCTAGGAGGACAAAATTCTCATAACTTAGGGGGAGCAAGGAAGAGTTATGTAATTCTTTAGAAGTACAGGAGACAATGCCTGAAGTTGATTTAGATTACCCTTCCCAAAACTTGCAAGATTTTTATTTATTCTTTATCTGCATTTTTAATGTTTCAGGATTTGTAAATGAGTTTCCACTTAGGACAATGCTGTATTTTTCAGGTTATACAAAACTTCCTTTCAAATGGTTTGACTACCTCAGGGAAACTGGCTCCATAGCAGCACCAGTCAAGTTGTTTAATAAGGTAAAAAGAAAACTGTAGTTACCGACTTGTAAAGCTTTTTGTTTTCAATAGCTTTATAACTAGTCCTTAAATGCTTCACTGTCTTAATTTATAACTAAGGAACTATCTAGAAATCCTGGTCATTTTTGTATAAATTATTCCTGTTTATTTCCCTTGCATTACTTTTGGTTTTCATAGTTTGAGTCAATTCAACAGACATTTATTAACTAATTACTAAGACTTAGAATTGGAATAGAACTTGGGAATCGGCTAGCCAAGGCCAAACATTTTGGTTTGTGCTTCCAAAAGAGAAGCTGTCATTTACATAAGACTTTATGGCTAGAAGGCCCTTTTCACACACTATCTCATTTGCTGCCTACATCCCTGTGACGGGGTCTAGTGCAAGTATTGTTCTTTCCTTACAAATAAGGAAATTGAGGTTTATCATTTAAATGGCTTGCCGTGCATCACATTGCTACTGGAGGCAGCACTTGAACCCATTCTTCTGGTTCCAAGTCCAAGGGTCTTTCTGCTGTCCCTCACTGTCTTCTTGTGTGGCTTCTACTGTCTATCAGCTAGAATATTCTTTTTCTTATCAGGATGTTCCAAATCATGGCTTTCGTGTAGGAATGAAATTAGAAGCTGTAGACCTCATGGAACCACGCTTAGTGTGTGTAGCCACAGTAACTCGAATTATTCATCGTCTGTTGAGGATCCATTTTGATGGTTGGGAAGAAGAGTATGATCAGTGGGTAGACTGTGAGTCCCCTGACCTCTATCCTGTTGGATGGTGCCAATTAACTGGATATCAGCTGCAGCCTCCAGCACCACAGAGTGAGTTGTTGAATTATCAAAAATTTTATTCGTGTTTTTTTATTTTTAAATCTGGATCTCTCCAAAAGTACATATTTTATGTTTGCCCTTAATTATACTAATTGTATTCTAAGGCTGTGGGACTGGGGCATAATTTCCCATGTCTGATTAAACAACAGTGTGCCATAGCAATCCTGAACTTAAGGGTCAGAATTGTAAAGTGCAGATCAAAGTAAGATCATTCATCAGACTAAATTAGTATACTCATTATTTGAAAAAGGGCATCATGTCTTAATATTCATGACTTCACTAGAATCCTCAGTCATATTTATGAAGCTTTAATATATATTTATTTTTAGAATGTTCTCTTATCAGAATATAGAGTACAGTTCATTTAAATGATGGTTGTTGTCATGAGTAAATACCCAGGACCATTGTTTTTCTTTTATTTTTCAGCATCAAGAGAGAGCCAGTCAGGTTCATCGAAGCAGAAGAAGAAGGCTAAGTCACAGCAATACAAAGGACACAAGAAAAGTGGGTCACCAAATGTTAATATGCATTTCTTTTTCATTGTTAACAAATTGTGGGCAGTGTATGTTCTCAGGGGAAGTAACATGCTTGTTGAAGTTGATGATTATACATTAAGTATTATGCTTAAAGGTGCAGTATGCCATAAAAGGCAGATCTTTTTTTCAGTAAACAAGAAATGTCTTGGGGGTTTTTTTCAATTTGTAGGAAAATGGTTAGTGTATTTTTTTTAATCTCGCATGGTAAAGGAAGATGATTGCTGTAATATTGTTGGACATTTGAGTAGGATTTCATGAATGACACTTAAAATTCTAAGTAATCTATTCCAGATTTTTCCTAATTGTTATAATAGAAATTAGTTTTTGGAACAGAGTGGGAGCATAATGAATCTATCCAGCCTATAACTAAAATTTCTGTCAAGAAATAGTATTCCATTGTTAAGAAATCCAGGCTGCTTATCAACAAACAAAATTTGTGCAGGTTATATGCATGTCATAACAATGGAAGAGTGGTTATTGCTGGAAAAGACTGGCCAACAGTATTTTTAACCGTATTTTAAAACCTTTTTTCCCCCGTAGGGGATTAGCTTGAATGTATAATTTCTTTTTCCTTGCATCAAACTTGTCACATAGTCGTTCATGCCAAGAAACTAATTTGTTCATATTGATTTAGAGAATTTTTTTTTGAGAGTAAAGATGCAATTTAGAATTAGAAACAACTCCAGATTTTTCCAGTTGATTTATCTTATGTTCAAATGAAAAGTGATCATTATCATCAACTGGCAAGAGATGGGTAACATGATAAAGAAGCCTTCATGCCCTGTTCTTCCCTTTCTCTTATTTTTAGTCTAATATTCACTGTGTTGATAATTTGAAGTGAAGTATTCTTTCTCTTCCATCCTCTTGCCCTTGTAGAGACGTTTTGGGCCAAAGAAAAAATTTTTCCCAAAGCACAAAACCTTCCCCAAACTCCATCCGTCTGTGGTGTTATTGAAATTGTCACACACAGCCCAGAATTATTTGCAGGCTAGACATTTGCCAGATCTAGCATTTACCTAGAATTGTTTCCATAGCACAGCATATAGGAGTGGGACTTCTGACCCCATCAACCAGGAAACTTAACTAAAAGTTATTCCAATAAAGGTATGAATTTAAAGGTAGATTGTAAAAGGTATAATCTCTAGGCTTACCATAAAGGTTTGTAACCAAGATTGTCTTGACTATTTCTTGTTTGAAATTTTTTTATGTCGGAAATCCTCCTTCCAAAGTAGAACTATATTCCAGCCAGTGGCTACGTGAAATTTTATTTTCAAGATTAATTTCCCAGTCTAGTGAACATTGTGTAACTGACATATATACTTGGAACACAAATCTTGCAGATTCTGTACCATATATATGTTGTGAGTGTTGTTTTAGACTAATTGATTCAGATAGGCCCTAAAAGAAAAGATTCCGTTACAGAGAAGTGATAGCATTGTTAAGTGTGTTTTTAATGACGTGGTTCATAACAAGACTGGATTCAAGAATGGTCTTAGCAGAAGATGCAACATTTTTATTTCATTAGCATTTCAGCTCCTCTTAGTTGTGTGATGTCTTTCATAAAGCTTTAAAGCACTCTCTCAGAAATGGGCAAGAAAAGAAGTATAAAGGACCATTAGATTATCTCCTTGTGGCTGTGCTGAGACCACCTCTTGATTCTGTGCTAGTTAAAGAGGAGGAGAACCTTTCTCAGATACTTCAGATCACATTGCCAGATAGGATAGAACTGATCCAAGGTCCATCTAAGAAAATAAAGGGTGGCGGTCTAAATAAACCCAGGCACACAAAGCACCACAGCTTTTACAGCCAGAACTCTATTAGTAGTAGACATGATATATGAAAATAATAATTTTAAAATAAATAATTTTATTTTCATTGTGTGCAAGTGGAATTATGTAGTGGTTATATGGTTTGTACTTCAGCTTTAATTCTTTTTTTTCCTAAAACATCCGTTATTGCTTCAGTAGTACTTATTTCTTTTGAAATAGGAAAGGTCTAGTTGGAGAATCTATTGTTCCGAATTGTGCACTGGGATGTATGTGTTCTTTCTATGAGCGTGGTTGCGTGTTAACTAGTATTTTCTAAAACAAGGATAACAATCCTAGAGATTGTTCGTGGTATATAGTCTCAAAAACATCTTTGAGTTAAGGTGCATTCATTATAAAGTAAGGAAACTGGCATTAACTATATGCCTTCTCATTGGCTGTTTTAGTGATGCTAATCTTAGTAGTTTCTTAGTTTTCTGTGGTTAATAACTTGCATTTTATTCTCTGGTCAGATATTAGTGAAGTTTCAAGGGGATGGACACATGGCTTAGGATTAGCAATTAAGAAATCAGTAGGAAGTTAATATTTAGATTGGTTATAATGTCATTTTAAGTAGTAGCAATATGCAGCTTTGGTTTGGCTTTTGCCCTAGCTATGTAAACATAGGCCGTATTTGGTCTTCTTACCTGAGATATTTTAAACCCTGGAAGAAAACTTTTGTTGGCATCTTAAATATATATGTAGTATGGTAACCTGTTGCTACTTTTATTCATTTAGACCAATGGTGTCAAATTCAAATAGAAACATGAGCTGCTATACCATACAAATGATCCACAATATGCAGGCCACATATTTGCTTAATTTTAAAATACAATATTATTAATGTTTTATTGTATTTTTATTTATTTTGTTCAAGTATTTCCCAAATACATTTTAACTTGGTTCTGGCCACATAAAGGAGTGTTGTGAGCTGCATGATTGACACCTCTTATATAGACTGTCCATGCCTTGCCTTCTTACCAAATAGACGGCAGTGTTTTGCTTTTTTGTTTGTTTTTTTTTAAATAATTCAAATGTATGTGCATCAAATTCCGGAACGTTTTTGTTGATGGTACAAACATTGGATGAGTCTTAAAGCTTATGTTCCTCTTGAAGATGAAACTGAAGCGTGTGATGCATTTGTGATTGAGATGAAATTCGATTGTTTCTGAATATGTGTACAATCAGAATTTTTGTCTTAGAAATAGTTTTAGAACAACTAGCTCAACTTATGTGCTTTATGAAGAAAGATTTTTTTTTAATTATATAGGTACATTCATATCTGTGAAATCCTGTCACACACTCTGACTTCACAAACAATCACACTTTCCTTCCTAACCAAACACCAGTATTTGGGATTTTGTGTGAAGTGGTGCCACTAAGCAGGATTTAGAAGAACCTCTCCCATTTGTTAGCAGGTTATTCCCTCCAAGATATGTCTAAGGATTTTTCTTGGTGAAAGGAAATGAACCAGCTGTTCTCCCAACCCAATCAGTGCTCTCTGTAGTTCAAATTTTGCTTTTGTTTTTTGAACTGGTTCAGGATTCAGAGCCTGGGATTTTCAAACTCCCAAAGAAGGAATATAGAATCCCATGTTTTCAGAGTGCCAACCTTGTGCTCTGTGCTCCACAAACTTTCCAACTTATTTAATGCACTTTTCTTACCACACATGTAAGTAAAAGCTTACTTTAGTCTGACTTAATGTTTAGAAAGGAAGATGCCAGTTGGGAAGAAGCCTGTCAGTTTGTCGAGCCTGCCCATGACAGGCGGGGTGCGGAGGAGCCTCTCTGGTGACGAAGAGTTGACTCCTCCTCCATATCGAACCCTTCCAGCACAGACAGCCCCGGAGGCCTTCCCACCTCCCAGCACTAGCCGAGAGTTCAGTCCCAGCCTCAAAACAGGTAATTAGTCACATCAGCACCTCAGGTACTGCAGATGGTAATTTTACTGGGTAGGGTGGTGGGAGACAAAGCATGGTCTGGCATGAAAGATGCTGACTCATTAATTTTTTTTTTCTTTTCAATTAAGAAATTCATTTTCATTAGTGCTTGGTAGTTATTTCACTAGATAAATCATATGGAAAGGATTTTTGTTTTGTTTTAACCACTTTAGAGCTTTAGATCAGTGTAGAGCCACAATGTCAAATAATTAAACTAAAAGATAACCAGGATTTTTTAATGTAATTATACTTTATAGTTTCATTCAAAAACTACAGAACATTTTACATTGTGGATTTCTGTTGGATTCGAATTCCTGCAAAAGTGGGATGTATTAAAAAATATCTGATTACCCAAGGCCAAAGGTAAAGATTCATTTAACAAACCCATAGCATTTCATAACATCACATTGACTGGGAAAGGAGCTCTCTCATGAGACTGGAGTGTATTTTTGGTGCTGATAATAGTTTAGACCAGTGAGAAAGAACTGTCAGACTTGGAGGAGAGATGGTATTTTCAAAGTCAGCTTTGAAGTTGACTGCTGAACTTAGCTATATTGCATTTCTGTAATTGTATATCTTTGTGCCTTCACAAGCTCCAGCAGTTAAATAAGTACATGGCATTTGGTACGAGTTTAATTCTTATAGGCCAAGATCATGCCTAAAGCATGTAAGCTTTAAAGGATGTAAAGCTTGGAGGATAAGTGCTGAGAAGGTTTGTCTTTCCTTTAATTGGTAAGACCTGACACAAGGTAATTATTGAGTACTGAAGAATGAGTTGCCTTAACGAAATATGATGGAATTGAGTCTTATAAGTCTAGGTTAGATGCTCAAAATCCAGATATTTGGTTAGATTGGAATCTGTACATCTATGCAGTTATGTTTAGACTACAATACTTTGTACTTATTTTAAATATCACTTCTCTGCTGAGAGCCTAGATGTATGGGACTTAGTACCTGGCTCTGAATCCTTTTCATTCCTTATTTTGCTAACATTTGTGGAAATGAAAACTTCGGTGGCATTTGCCTTACTATAAACATCCCAAATGTTTTTTGTAGAATAGGCATGCATCTCATCCCACTTCCATTGTTTGTATAGTTTCCTTTTCATTCCCTCTAAAAATTAGAACAAGATTTTCTTGCCATTTAGAAGAATTTCTGTGGCCTACTTTGCATCCATGAGAACTTTAAGTCCAGCATTATCTGTCTTGCCTAGCAGAAGAGGAAGCCTTCTAAATGTCGTTCTATTGTGTTTTTGACATTTTAGGCCCACTAGCTCCCTAAAGTTATTTGTTTTGTGATACATTATTAGTATCCGGAATGGTCTTTGACCTTGTAAGTTTGAAGCTTTTTTGAAAATAATTAGCATTTTGAGAGTTTTTTTTTTAAACACTGATGATTTTCCCTATCTGTCTCATTACATTGGCCCAGGGGGTCTGAATTTGGCTTCTGGATTTGTAACAACCCTTAAGTATTAAAAATGAGTGCTTCTGGGTAAACCATGTGGCCTAGCAAGAGTGTTTTCACCCCAATTCCTGCAGCAATATATATATACTAGAAATATGTATAGAGCTGTAGCTGTATCTATAGATACAGTAGCCATAGAGCTATGAGCCTGTGCTTTGTGGCTTTGTGTAATCTTGAGTGGCTCTGCTTTTTTAACTGAATATTGTGGTTTAATAACATCTCTTACAAGAATTTATAACTATGGGCTGTGTGGTAAAATGTGATTTAGTTTTTTAGTTCTTGCAGTGTTAGGGATTTAGTGTCAGGGTAATGTTAGAACTGCCTCTTTTAAAGTTTACAAAGCTTCATTAAGCTATGAAAGTTGCTTTAGCGTCTTGGGAATTAAGGTTAGGAGCTGAGGAAGAAAAACAAGCCATGAAAACAGACTAATAGATTTTTATTCCAGGTAGATGAAATATATATGTTGAACTAGGCTCCACTTAAGTGAATGTGTCATCATTGTCTCCAGCTACTTTTTTAAGCATATCATTTTCATGTTTAGAGAAGATAGGAGAATGAAAACTAAAAGTTTGTTGTCGTCTGCAAGTGTAGGTAACATCAGGACATACTGTGGATGTTCCACTTATCTTTCTTATATTTGAAACATCAGTCTGAATGTAACTTAGGTTCCAGTAACACTTTTCTCATTCATTTGGTCATCATATAAAAAAAATTCTTTTAATCGACCTTTTAATGTGGGTACTGCACCTTTAATGAAACTTGGCCATTTTTTATTTTCATTGGGCTTTATTTTCATATACTCAAGATGCTCTTTGAATGTTTCTTTTATTTGGGTGATAGATTTGAAGGTTAACAATTGAACACTTATTGTCACTATCCATAATACCACTCATATCTTCAGTGATGCTTTTTAAGACAAGAGGGAAAGAAAAAACACATGAGAACTGGTTTCATTTACCTTTCATCTGTTTGTGTTTGAGAATTCTTTGGGTAACTATAAGTACACTCCCTTCCTGCCCATTAACCTCCAAGAACATGAGCATTGTTACAAAACAAATAACAAAAAGCAAAGGAATTAAATAGAAACATCTTCTAAAAGATTATTTTCTAATCAGTTAGTAAAAAGTCAGAGATGATTGTTATTTCACAATCAAAATCAAGGAATTAAATATACTTAATTGACCTCTTTTTCTGTATTGAATGATTTGATGAATCTATTGGATTCTTGCATTCTGGAAAACCAGAATTAGTTCTTACAGGACAAGTTTACCTGTACAAATTTATTTTCTTAGATTTTTTTAGTATAGGCAGTTTTTTACTTATGAATGACAAAGCTAAAAGTGATACATATGCACAAGTAGACACATATACAGCCTCTCTGATTGCCGTGAAATATATCATGAACAAGCTTGGAATTTTTAGAAAAGCTGTGGCTTCAAAAGAATAAAGGAAGTTTTTAAAAGTAGAAATGGCCTAGAGAAACTGCCCTGGAGGAAGAAGTCCCAAACATAGTTGCCCTGTCGATGACTACCCAACCCTTGGAATAACTGACCATGCTGCCTGAACTTTTTATTTCATTTTTACTCCTAAAATGCCAGTGATGAAAATGAATTTGAGTTAGCAAGCAGCTGCTTTTTTAAGCTACTATGGGAAAACTGAAAGGTGATGGTATTGAGAGTTCCATAAAGATTGCTTCTTGCTATACTTAGGAATGGGAGGCTTCATTGGGGGATGGAAAAGGGAGGAGGCTGGAGTTGTGGGAACATGGACTACTTTGGGGACAAAGGTAAAACACACGTGCAGAAACAGAATCCACCCTAGAGTGTGATGGTCAGCCACACTATAGAGGAAAAGCACTGGATCAGAAGCTTTTAGAAAGACCATAACCCTAGAACAGGAAGGGACCCTTAAGGGCCATCTGGATCTTGAAGGGAAAACACGGAAGCCCTAAGGTAAAGTGACCTGCCTAAGGTCACAAAGGAGGTAGAATAAGGGACAGACTCCCAACTTCAATTCCACAGCCCACCTCTGCCTCCAATCTTCATGGACATCAAAAGCCTGGAAATTCAGACCTCAGCTCTGCCATTTACTGGCTTATGATTTGGGACAAGTCACTTCCATTCTCTAGGTCTCAGTATCTTCATCTATAAAATGAGGGAGCTGAACTAGATGATTTGTAAGTCCCCTTCTAGCTCTTAATATATGATCTCCAAGAGTCTTATCTTAATTCTACAATATTAATCAAAGGCAGACATTACTTTTGCAAATTTTGCTTTGCCTAGGCCAATTCTGCCTAGAAAATGGAAGAGCAAACTCTTCTCCTTCCTTCTTGCTTGTCCCCTTTCCCTCTTTTTTTGTCTCCATCCCATACCTTGGGGGCTTTCTGCTCTCAAAATACAGAACTCAGGCAAGTACTATATCTGCTGTGTTATGTGTTAAATGAGCATTTATGAGCTGGCCTGGAAACAATTTGACCTTCTTTTATAAAAACAACCACTGCCTTGTTAGAGACTGATTTAAAATTAAAAGATCATTAATCAGTTTCTGCCCAAAAACATTTCACTGAAGAAAAAAGGCCTTGTTTTAAGACATCAGTTTCACACTCCTAATTTTCATATTATTGATGCCCACCAGTGATCTTTCTGGAAGTCTTAGGTAGTTGTACATATTTAGAAATGGACATTAAGTTTTAACCCATTTTATTATGACCCAGGAAATAAATGTTCATTAAAGTTCCCCCAGGGAATATTATAAATACAAAATAAAGCCTATTTAATGTTTTTAATCACCAAAATGTAATCATCAAACATTATTAGAACATTAACTTCATAATTCTTGTTTCATTCATCCTCAAGGTTAAATATAGACTCTCATCATTCAGTAAGCATTTGTTGTATGAGATAAGTGCTTATTGAATGAATAGCTTTGCACATGATTATCATCCATATAACAAACACTGTGGTGTTATACTCGCCATGGAAAGTGCTCTCTGAGAAACACCAGATGTCTGTCTTTCATATTTGCACGGCTTTTCACTATCTGCTAATCTGCTTTATCATCTTTGTTGCTGTAAGCACCTTGATGCTCATATTCACAGTTTAGTATTTTTTAAGTTACTCAAGGGATGAAGAAGGCTCCTTATCTATACAGTTGGCTAGATTGGAGGATAAAGGACATGACTGTATTAGGTATGTATGTCTCCTTTTTCTTTTTCTTTTAACGTAGTGACTCCATTGCAGCTGAAGGAAGAGTTGCTAGATGGAGAGGAATACAGCTTCCTCCAAGGGGCTTCTGATCAGGAAAGCAATGGCTCTGCCAGCTACTACATCAAACAAGAGCCCTGAGGTGACAGCTCAGAAGCCAGGGGAAGGGAGAGCTTTCTGCAGGACGAATTTATTACCAACCCAACTGGACAGGGGGACAGTTCTGCTGGGTCACTTTGCTAACCATAGAAGAGATTTAAGTTCTGGATTTTTTGAGGTGGGTGGGGAAACTATTTTAGTCAGGGGAAAATTTTTCAATTTATAAAGATGGACATTTTTGTGTTGTATTTGAAGCTTTTGAAAGAATTTTGTAATATTTTCCAAGTTTGGATTTATTGTGCATTGTTAACAAGAACTGAAATTCTAACTTTTTTGGTAAGATAAAAAGTTTAAGTAACAGGATTGCAGGAAACGATTTAAGAAGGATATAGTTGCAAATACAAATGAACTGTCATTACAAATGAACCTTTTTTTGGTACAAGTTGGGAGATTTTGGAATCTTCGAAACTATGCCAGTCACATCTCCAACTTCCTCTGCTGCAGAAATATGCAACCGATGCCCTCACGGAAGGAGCATCGCCACGTAGATCACGGAAGGTGGGACAGATTTTTGAGTTGTTGGCATTTTATTGCAGACCATTTTAAATGTTTGTACAGAAATGTTTTCATTCTGGAAAATGCTCAAGAAAATTTGTTTGGAGTTCTGTGTGAAGCTGGAAGAACTCTAAATACTTTTTACAAGTTATCTTTTTAATTAGAAATGATCAAAGTTATTTTAACACTTATGTGTTAATTAAACTGGAATGGTTAACATGAGCTTATGCATAGCATCTTTGTCTTGGCAAAGTGGGGTTGGGGAAAAATGCAAGATTGTCCTAAGTTTTTCTTTTTTCTAAAACACCCCTACAAAAGAGATAAGAGGTTCTGTTCTTTCCTCTCTGACATCTCCTCCTTTCTCATTCTGTGACATGATGTTTAGCATAAGCACACCCCAAAGCCAGATGTTCTGTATTAGCCAGAAAGTGGAAATGGAGCATCTTCTAAAGCCAGAATAAGTCTAAATTTCAGGATCATTCCAGTTATGCTTTAATTGTTAAAAAGTTATTGAAAAGGAATGTGTTCATTCTCTTAAAAATTCCCACGTACTGTAAAAACTGTGTATCACTACAGCCAAAACAAGTTCTTAACAGAAGTAACAACTGATTTGGACCATGTAAACATTCCTTGTTTTAAAGTGTATGTGGCTTCTTTTAAAAGGGTGGTGGGAGGGGGAATGTGTGCTCTCTGCATTTTTAAGCTTTCTACTGAGTTGTGACTGAAAAAAATGGAGAGTTTTAGCTTTTACCAGTAAGGTTCATTAACTAAATTCTCAGGAATTAACTGCGTGTGTTCTCTAAGTGCTTCTGGGCCTTAGCCTGTCCCCTTCAGAGTGCTATATTGACCATCTCCTCTGGAGTATAGGTAGATAGTAGGTAGGGCTAATTAGAAAATAATCAACGTGATTAACCTCTACAGTCCTTCAGCCTATGGAATGCTTTAAAAAATGTTAACAGAAAGCCCCAGGAGACTGTTTTAGGTAAGTTTTTGTTTGACTTTTAAAAGTGCATAGAAAGTTGAAAACCAGCAATTTATTTTCTAAAATATTGCTCTAATTTTGGGTACATAACATTGGTAATACGCACAGGTTTACCTCATTCTATGCAAGAGGGGTTAATAACATGTGGTTTTGTAGTTGCTACTGGAAGTAAAATTTGTTATTTATCTCGTAGGAATATATGGAACCCCAGTGTCAACATTTCTTAATACTGACCTTTTGGGGCATGTAGGTCATATCAACAACACTAAGTTGATTCTCATGTGTCAAGTGTATGTGAATTCAGCTGTTAAATTACTGGTTACTTACTTGTCCAAACTAAGAATGCTAAGGAGGACCTAATCCAAATATAGTATTTTCAATGCCTCCTAAATGTTTAACTTTCAGAATCCTCTTATTAATCCGAAAACTGGGAAACTTCCAAAGGAAAGGTAGCAGTTGTCTTAAATCAATCCTCAGGCTCAGTGACAAATTCAGGATTCTGAGCCCATTTAACATGGGCATAAGAAGCCAAAGTTTTGTGGCTTACCCCACCTCCCCATTGAATACTTAGATCTTGAGGTCAGTACAGCCTGGGGTTGGGGAGTCTACAGGGAATTAAGATGTAAAGCAGGAAGGTCAGATCTGAGGCCAGCCTGTCCTAGAGGTAGTTCAAAATGCTCACTTGTAGCCCAGACACTGTCAGCTTCCAGTTATAAAGCTAAACCAGGCACACTAAGTGGTTAGAATCTCCCGTCCAAATGGCATGTTTTTGTTATCATGATAGTGCAGGTACAGCTTTTATTGTTTCAAAACTGTGACCAAATGTTGGAGGGGACAAGAACTTTGTGAGGTCATAAGAGGAGTCCCCCTACTGCAGATGATCATAAAATCATCTCTTTATGAGGCTTACAAATTTTATGTCTTAGCCATAACTTAAATAGTACAACTTTTAATAGCCCCATTTTCCTTTACAGTTCAAAATGTACTGCTGACATTGAGTTTTCTTTCCTTTTTCCCCAAGTTGGGATTTTTGGTAGTTTAAACTCTTTAACCTTTTCCTTGCTGTGTATGAGGAAAGCTAAAGCTGTTATCAACTTCTTGTTCTACGGATACTAACACGGGTTTCAGTGTTTGTTTGTTTTGTTTTAATTATTATTATTATTATTATTATTACTATGTGATGTGAATACCCTTTCCCATCAATATTTGTATTATGGTGCTATATATTTGGTGATGATCCTTTAACATTGGGAAGGGATTTTTAAATACTGTGATTAAACTGGGTTTTCTTCCTTTAATTTTCATATTTTAAATAAAGCCACAGTCATTTATACAAAAAAAAAGCATCTGTCCCTGGGTAGATCTTTGGGGCAGAAGTCAAAGTAAACTACATAGGGTTTTTACATCATTTCTGTATGTATTTGATATATAGATCAATATCTGTACAAATTTAATCTTTTATTTTCTTGGTAATTGTGTGGTCAGTGGGAAAGTGTTTAAAACTTTCTCATGAAGTGTACATAACTAAGTGAAAAATGCTTTTGGAAAAATTTATGTTCCTTTCATTTTTACCAAATTGCAGATTTTCAGCATGGATGTGAAAAGCATTAAAATTATAACTTTGTGTACAAGATGAAAATAATTCACTAAACTTGCCCTTTTTTACACAAAATAAAATGTTAAAGTAAGCTTTGTATGGGTGAAAATTTACATTATTTATATTTTTGTTTTCTTGTTTTGCTGCAGGCAGTCTTCATTCAAAGAAAACTTTTTTTTTAATTACTAGTTTTATTTCCATTAACGATGTCTTCATATCTAAAATATTTGTGTCATGAAATTTTAAGAACCTTCAGGGGTGTGGCAAAACCAATTTTGTATTTTGGGGTAGATGGTTAATGATCCTCTATGCCCCAAACCAGCCAGCCCCACTCACTGGATATTTGATTATGTTATGTTCAACCCAGCTTTTGGACATATCATTCCTTCACCTTGCTTCAGAGAGAGGCCGTTCAGTCAGCCGACAGACATTTAAAGAAATGACAGGATTTTAAATGCAAGGTAATTATGGAGGGCACTAGGAATTGAGAAGATCAAGAAAGGCTTCTTGTAGAGTGTAGAATCCTGAGTCTTGAAGGAAGTAAAGGATTCTGTGAGGAGACAGTAAGGAAGAGAGGACATTCCAGGCACAGGGGACAGCCAGTGCAAAAAAGAGGGGACAGATGAAGTGTTTGATGAGGAAGAAAGAAGGCCAGTTCACCTGGACCATAGAGTGCAGGATAAAGAATAATACATAATAAAGCTGGAAGATCTGGTTGTGAAGGGCTCTAAAAGACAGCAGAGAAGCCCCTGGCGTTCCAGTGCAGAAATGGCATCATCAGAGCCAGGACTGAGGAAAAGGTGACTGTGTAGAGGATGGATTGGAATGGGGAAAAACTTGAGGCACAAAGAACCAAATAAGAAGCCATTGCAGTAGTCTAGGGAAGAGGTGATGAGGACTTGATCTAGGGTGGTGGCTGTGTAAGTAGAAGGAAGCAGACAGATGTAAGAGATGGCATTGAGGTAGAAACAGCAAGGTTGGCAGTGTCTTGGTATGTAAAATGAAAGGGAATAACACCAAAGAAGGGTGGGCCTGGGGAAGAATGATTCTCTGGGGTCATAGAGGGAGTCAGGGAGACGTGGTCTAGGAGTGATTCTGTTTTGCCCTGATAATCTTAGAAGAGGGGAAGCATAGCAAGGCAGGGGGCAGGGGCAAAAGTAGTTCACGTAATCAAAGTTTGCAAATTGACATCTATATCTATACAAACAAGGGCATGTTGGGAAACAACTGACACTTGAACCTCACTCTTATCTGAACTGATCAAAGGAGGGAAAAGTACTTACACACATACACACACAGTTGGGTACTGAAATACATATATATATATATATATCTCAATAGGGAGAGAGGAGTGGGGTAAATTAGAGGGAGAGTAGATTAAGAGAGAGACAACAAACAAGCAAAACAAACTCTTAAGGATGTACAAAAATATTTATAGCTTTTTTGAGATGACAAAGAATGAGGTGACAAAGGTGATGGATTCTCTATAAATTGGGGAATGGCTAAATAAATTAAGGTATATGAATATGATGGAATACTACTGTGCTATAAGAAATGAAACCATGTGAGAAGACTTGTGTGAACTGCTGCAGAGTGAGGGGATCAGAACCAGGAGAACAATTTATACAATAACATTATAAAGACAAAAAAACTTTGAAAGACTTAGGAACTCTAATCAACATAATGACCAACCATGGTTTCAGAGGACTGATGACGAAATATGCTACCCCCTTCCTGATAGAGAGGTGGACTCTGCAAAATGAAACAGATACGCATGCACT